AGACATTTTGGTTATCTTCTGTATCTTTTATGGGAACTCAGACTCTTTGGAAGATTTAGAAAGAAAATCTGTTTGCGGGAACCAAAATACATTTAGAAGAAAAACCCTTGAGTATCTTATGTCTCCAGCAACTTTCCACTGTTTTGGTGAGAGTACTTTAAGGAGGTAGTTTTGACATTACAGAGCCCTGTACTGATTGAAGAAAAAAAAGGTAAAGATAGAAATGTAGTGATTTTTCAATGAATGGTACATCTCCTTAAATAATGTTGAACACTTTTTAGAACACCCATGCCTGGGACAGGATGGTCATGTCACAGCGGCTTACTGAACATCAGCTCAGTACCTGTTTCTTGCCCTGGCACAGCTTCTTAGGAAACAGCTAGCAATGATCAGGCATTTGACATCAGAATTTCATAGATTTCAAACAACTTGTTCATACTGTATTTCCCTTCAGCGTGGGGGTTTCCTCAAGTTTCTGCCAGGCCACAGACATCATATGTTAGAAATCGTTGAAGGGAAGAGCCCATCTAACGTTACTTGTCAGCACTGATTCCTTTTAGCGAGAGTGCAAAACTATTTTCGGCCCGCTGTGATGGCTATTTTTATCTCCATTAACCTCTTGACTGAATATAAACATTTACTGAGGGTTACCTCCCTTGTTTGTCCAGTTGCTGCAAAGGTTAGTGAAAAGTGGATGCCTGCCTGACCTCTTTCATCCTCATTAGCTGACTCTAATTGTTCCCTGAGAGATCACAGTTTTGACCCTGTTTGTCCTTGTCAAATTTGTCTAGTTATGGCATGAAGACATTAGCAGAAATTGCATTTTCAGGTAAAAATGACTGTCATGTAGAATACACATTTGCCTAGTATAGAGCAGTGAACAATATTGTGGTTCTTTAATGTGCCCTCGTTGCCAAAATGTGAGGTTCCTCTTATATGGCCCCATCTTATGGACACCTGTGTTAGTAGATCCCTATGATTATAGTTAGGCAGTAAGCAGGATGTTTTGTAAGCTTTTGAGTAATTTGTAGCAGTTCTTTTGGAGGGAGAAATAAAATTTTGTTTGGTTTTTGAAGTATTATTTTTAAGCAGCTGTAATATTGTTGCTACTGTGTCAAGGAAGCTTTTTTTGTAAAAAACATACCTTTCTTAAACTAGAGATATTCCTAATAGTACTGTAAAAAACCAACAACATAGCATAAAGTAGCTAACACCTCGCTGCCCACCACCACCATTTTGGGAATGACCAACTAAATGTTACAGTATGACAAATATATCCTATGAATTACAGGGTAATTTTCATAGTACATTCTGAGAGTCAGAGCATGAACATACTTTACTTCAAGTGGGATGGTATCCCAAAGGTAAAGAGTTGTCATGAAGAACATTTTGCCCTGTCAAGAGTTTCTTCTGTGTCAAGCCAAGAAAGCCCTTTTTCACGTTCCTTGGTGGATCTCAGTTGTGGTTGTACAGTTGGGGCAAAGGACCTGGCAGGTCTCAATTAGGTATCTCAAATAGACAGGTCCCAGGCTTCACAGGTTGTAACCAGCCCCTTAAATCCCACAGACACTTGGTGCAGATTAAAAAGCACTGGTGTAATGCGCTCAAAGCACGATATCCTGCTTTACAAGCGGGTTGCCGCATTCTGCACCAGCTTCAGCTTTCAAATGGATTTAAAATGTAGCCTCAGGTGTAGCACATTGCAGTAGTCTAATCTTGAGGTGATAAAGGCATGACTGATTTAACCATAGCTTCTTGTTATCTTGGACTGGGGTCTTTTCATTTTAACCATTTTAGGGAAATGGCCTTTCCTGAATCAGCAGGGTTGCTTCAATTCTTACTAGGTAATAAGGCACAACAAGAGCAAGCCTTTGTGAGTGGTGAACACTTCCTATGAATGCGTGAACCTCACAGGATGCCAGACCCCAAGAACTGCTGCGGTGGTCCTGACACATCTTACAGCTCACACAATATGCCTGTGAGGTACTTCAAAGAGAAGCCATTGCCCGTCTCCCTTAGTGGAGCTGCCAAGCTTTACAAGCAGCCAGGGCCTTGTGAAGTTTTGCTTTCATATTAAAAGAAGTTTATTTACATATCTGTGCAGCTTGGGAGCAGAGCTATGGGAGAGTGGGAAATTCTTTTGAGGTGTCCACCAGCTCTTCTGGGCTAGCAGAGCTGTGAGACAAAACACCCTGTTCCTCCTCCAGCCTATCTCTAGTGCCTAGAGACCACTCACAGCTGCCGAACTGATTACAAGTTTTACTGCCAAGCCGACCTGGAAGCTAATTTAGTGATCTCCATGTAGTTCTTTAAGTTCCAAAAAAGCCCTGCGAACTGGGGGATGGCAAAGCGAACTCGCGTCCTGACTGCTGGTGCTCAGTCTGCCTGCTGCTGCTGTTGCTTCACCTCAGAAGGGATGAGGCACCAGCCTGGGCTCCTCTCATTGTCTAGAAGAAACAGGGGCGGTGGCCTGGGACTAAGCCTACCGCTTACTAAAGGAGAAATTAATCTCCATGAGAAAGTCAAACAGTATCTCTGCATCTCATTTCTTCCTCAGCAGTATGTGGTTAAGTATAATCCTTTCCCAGGACATACTGTTTGTCTTGTCCATGTAGATAATAAACTATTGCCCAGCACAAGAAGATCCTGATATTATTTGAGGCTTTTTGATACCACCTTAATGCAAATTATACCCTTACAGATGGGAGAGACATAATGAAATGAGTTGCACTGTCTTTTGGTTGTACTTGGGATTACCAGAGACTGAGAGCATATATAAGCATAAAAAACATGTTAAAGGCTTGACAGAAATGGCAGTTGGAGAAATGCAGCATGTGGTAGGAACATGTCCCGGTCTTCCTCTTCATTATTGCTATGCAGTCACAGTTGCTAACATTCATGCTAAAGCTTATATTTAATATGGGTATGATTATCAGCTATGTGAAGAATAGCCGCTCTTCCTTGTTTTCATAGCAGTCTTAGCGCTGTTTTGGTGTAAATGACACTACAGTCTAGACTTTTCTGTAACAGAAGATAGAGATGATACTTTGATTACCTTTCATCTCATCTCTTGCAGATCTTTTTCAGTTCATGCCTCATTTACATCATTATTTTCTGTGCAGTCCATATGTAAATACTTTGCACTGATGTCATAATTGGTAATATCAGACTTCTTGATAATTTACATATGAACTTAACCAAATTTAAAAAAAAATTGTTTACTGGCCAATTAGAAATCAGAATTTAAATTCAGATTTCAAACGCATGCAGTTGGGTTGACTCTAGTAATACTTCATATAAGCAAACACACTTTCTGCAACTTCCCATGGAGAAAGCAACTGGAATTGAGACATCGCATGTCTCTGGTTGCAGTATTTTTACACTAGGCAGGTATGTTGTTGCTAGCTGTTACGTTCCTCTTTACCAATTTTTTTCTTCATCTATATCTGCTTTTTCCAACACTTCTGGAAGATCAATAATGTCATGGAGTGCATATAGAAGTGTGACTTATGCATAAACATTTGTATGAAAAATGCAAAATATAAAATGTAAATTAAGCAAGAAATACTATATTTGATACAACAGTATTAGAGAAGAAACAGAAAAAAACAACTGAAAATGTGAACTGTGACATTCAATACATCTTACTCTATCATCTTTATTAAAATACCTATATATCATCAATTATATTAAATATACCTTATATAAGATTATGAATCTAATCTTATGTAACTAAAATATTTTAAATAATATCTTATTTTCAATAAATATTTTCATGTATATTTTGGGAATGTAATATTTTTTATGGTAACTTACTTAATATACTTCACTACACTTCTAGAACAGTCATAGGTAATGAATGTGACCAATGCATATAGAATGTCCATGTAAATATATGATTTTCGGTATCTTAAAATTTTGTAACTCTCTTAATCATATAGAATATCACAATAGAACATAGCTGGAGCCAACTAGAGAATTATTGGTAGAATATAAAAATAATTAATCACATTCTCTTAGAAAAGGTTGGAATGTCTTGGACAGAATTATATCCCAGAACAAAAAATAAATTAAAAGTTACATGGTGACTGTTGTACTTTGTACTCTCTGTTGTGGTTTCATGCTTGATACAGAGAAAAAGAACTGTGAATGATAGAAGTCTAAGTGGCATCTCAGTGCCACGTACTGACAAACTCAGGAGTACCCACAGGGTTTTTGCCATTTGATTCGTAAGTTAAGTGTTAATAAATTTGAAGCCTCTACCTTATCTCCTCAAATACCAAATTCTCTAAATATAGAATCTGAAATATACACAGGAGATGGTATTGTTAAATGTGCATCTCCTTGCCTGCATGCCTTTCAGGTGCAATGGATATCATGCTTTACTTTTGTGCCTTTGAATTTATTAATACAACTTCTTTTATAGTCTGTTTGGAGACAAAGTGCAGTGAATCATTAGCATTATTATTATTATTTCAGACATAGTGAAATCACACATCAACACTTAGCAAAATGGGAAAAATTCCATTATCCATTCACAACAATTTCCTATCATAATACAAACGTTACTCAGGACAGATCTTTGAAACGGATACCGATTCTTTAAATTCTTTCCTGTCTGTTTCAGGAAATAGTGAGATCCCGTTGATAATGAAGTACAATGTGTCTAAAGTTCACTTCTAAACACTTGGCTCTTTGCTGTGAAAGTCATCTGCATTCCCTTTATAATTCTCAGCCACCAGAGAACTGCTTAATCTTGGACATCTGATCCAATATCATTCGGAAAAATCCTTGATAATAGTTTCACCATTCAATCAATGAAAGAACTAAAGCTTACTGCTCGTGTCTTATTAAAAAAAGTCCTGAGGCAGGGGAATAAGAGCTTGGCTTATGGGTTTTGAGATTTTGTTGTTTGCAAATAAAATGATTATTACTATTATTATTCAAGTTCTTAATCAAGGCAAGCAAATGGCATCTGTTTGTTATCATCCTTCCTACAGAAGACAAAGGCTTCAGTCCCTATGGTACTGACTGCTGGCCCCAAGTGGTTGCTGGATGTGACTTGGCAAGGAGTAGAAGACAACAAAAACAACTGCATTGTGTACAGCAAAGGTAAACACAAGCTGATTTTTTTCTCTACTTTCTTGTGCAAGGTACTGAGATAAAAATATACCTGTTGCATAATAGGAAAACGAAGTAGTTTGTTTCCCCTTAAAGTGGAACATTTTTCATTCCCATTTTCCTACCCTGCTCTGGTTTTGCCTGTTTTTTTTTTTTTCCCTTTTAATGATACAAAAACCTGACATGGTGTCTGTAGTGTACTAAATGCTTTATAAACACAGAAGGACATCAGCTGACGTAAGACATACCATCCATTTCTCTCTGAGAGTTAGTGCTTCTCGGGAAACATCAGTAAAATCTATACACTTTAGAAAGGTGGATTCTTTCTGACATTTTATTGGACATACTGGATAGCATTTCTCCATGTTACATTACATTGTAGACTACTAACTGAAATCTGGTTTTATAAGAAGAAGTCGAACTTGATTGGACTATGATAAGACTTCATGTCAGCATGGTAACAGAAGATAACTGGAACTGGATTTCAGGGTTGTCGCCTCTGACATTCCCGTCTCTGTGTAGTGGCATGACGTGATGATGCTTCACTGGAATGTATTGGCTAGTGGCAATGCATATAATTTCTGTCTTATGTGAATTGTCAGATTTGCTGAAGTCAGTATGAGTTCTTACGAGGCCCCCCAGACTTGCTTTGTCTAACCTACCACATCTAACAGCTACTTTGGCTCAAGATGCAAAAGCTTTTATCTTGCATCTTGAACCAACCCAAAGAGCCGTGAGTTCAGTCCATAGTGCCATGGACTATGCACCACGCTGTTTGGTCAGTCACTGTGAAAGCTTTGTACATGCGGTTATGGTATCATTACAGTATGTTTAAAAAAAAACAACCGACAACACTTGAATACGTGGAATAAGAATAACTTATTTAGTGTAGCTTTTTTTGGCATTTCCCCTGAAGATCAGGTTGCAAAACTATGACTTTCCTTCCTTGTATATCAACCACCAATCTCAGCACTTTGTGAATACTTCAGAACATGCACTGTTCTTGTTTAATTTCTTTTAGGTTTTATTTCTAACCAAACAGACCTACTGAGATCAAAGATTTGTTTGCTGAGGCAACCTAGTGACCATTTCAGCATACAAGCATCCAGGCAAATAAGCACCCATATCAATATATTAACATACAAAACACTAATCATAACATCAAAGACTCCTAAAAACTTACTAGAAACAATTACAACTTGTTCCTATAATCACTGCAATTTATACACTTATAAGAGGATTGCTTTTAAACTGCCACAAACCTTTGAAAGTTGAAACACTGAAAACAGGGAATTTGCATGTTAAAAATGAGTTGCACACCAGGGTCTTATAAATTCTTTCTATTATAATTACAGAATGCCAACACATTCATTCTGCAACCTGAAACACCTGCAGTACTAGAGAACTGGGCTCAGGTCTAAAAAGGGTTGAGCTGCCCTTTCTTCGCAGCTTGCTGATTGCTGCCCAAGTGGAAGAAGCAGCAAAGTGGTCTGAGTAATATAGTGAAGCTTTTCTAGTGAATCCAGAACTGCAGTTTGCTATTCGTGGTATTGAATACTCCAGGCAAACTTTTCTGCAACAACTTTTTAATGTAATGGGAAATTACTTTCACTCCAAAATACAGCTTCTGCAAATTCCCATAGGATAATGTCTTATCAAGTATTACATTCTTTCTGTAATTATAATAATACTTAGCACATATATACCAGTAAGACTTTTCATCTTCAAAGTACTTTACAAACACTAACTAATTCATTAGACAGTTTCAGTGCTGTCTGAATGAATCTATTGAAATACGATTTTTTTTGTCAAATACTAAAAACTTTCCTTAGTTTGGGTCAGTCTGTAGCCCAAAACATTAGTCTTTTCATTCAAACATGCTGGATTTTGTTTCACTGGTGATGCTGGTTATTTTAGTACTTGGTTAAGAAGGTATTGTGAGACAGTCATGCAGTGCTCAAGGCGAATTCTGTTCTCTCTACCGCAGATGTGTATTATAACTAAAGTTGATGATAAATTTGAGCCCTAATTTATAAATACGTGTTAAATCCTGCTACTTCACTAAACTAATGCAGGAAATAAGTTGTAGATATGCTTTACCTTCACTGCATTCTGTTCATCTCTTTGCACTTTGAGTTGGCTGCTCTGTCGTTCATGAAGCACCTACACTTGCCTTGAGCTCTGCTGGGACTTTTGTACTAGAAAGATTAATTGGCTTGGATCACAAAACAATGTCAAATAGAAGATGGTAAAATAAATAAATAGAATAATGTTTCCTCCTTCAATTTGTATCTCATCATTCCAGATTACATTGCCTTGATTTGTGTTAGCTTTCTGTCTCCTGTAGTGCCATTACTTCTAATGAAACGGTGTTAGCTGGCATGTAGTTGTAATTCGATGTTATGTTGTAGTGGCATGTGTATAATTTTGTTAGTTTGCTTAGTAATACTTTGTTATTTCTGAAAGCAATTAGCTGAACAAATGTGTGGAATTGTACATGTAGCAGATTTGGCCACCTGGGAGATGCTTTCCTTGCTATACCCAAGATGAGATGAGTGGAGTAAATTGGCATGCTTCTAAGAGGAAAATAAGTTTGAGAATTGGCTAGCAATACATGGTACTGGTCGATCAGTTGCTGTCTCAGAAGCGCATGCCATATTTCCTTTTAGCTTACTACAGTGATATCTTTGAGAGCAGAATTTTCCCCAGATCTTTCAGGAGAGCATAGGAATGTCAGTCTGACTTCCAGTTCACTAGAAACTATGGGCACCATAGTCGCTCACGTATTGCACGCAGAATAATCACAGGGAGAGGAGTCCGGCATGTAGTTCCTATTGAAAGTGAATCTGAGCTGGCTAGCTAACTCCCTATTTGCCTTCAAAACTCTCCATGAAATATTTTCCTTAGGCAAGCAAACACAAGAAGTGTGTGTCTGCGTACGTATGTGTATATATATGATGTACATATATAGGATTATATTGCTAAGTTATTACAGTGGAATCACAATTCATCTTCTATGTAAATTTTTAGATTAAGAAACCAGTTATTTAAAATCATACACCAGAGTACATTCAGAGTGAATAGCTATGAAATAACTATTCAGTATTTGAAATTAATTCTATTTAGTTTAGGATCACTTACTTCTATCTGTATTTTTTATAACTGTTTCCCCCAATGCTGTGACAAATTAGAAACGGGAAAAACAGTTCATTAGTATCCCTTTTTACAAGGTCTGATACAAGCTGGCTACTCATGGCATGTGCCATTATCCCATTCTATTTTTTTGAAAGGAAACTTTTACAAGTGTAATTACATTTAAAAGACATGTTCTTTTTGTTTTAATATTTATGTCAAACTTCTCTCATGTTTCAAAAATAGTCTGTTCAATAATTTAAGAGATGTCCTAGAAACAGTAACTGAAATTTTAGAGACAAATTTTAGGAATTGTACCTTATCTAGTCTAGATTTATAAATAAGTTCTTTCCAAAAAACAGCTACAGAGTTTCAGTGATTCAAGCAAGATACACTGGTGGGAAGTATTAATGCATGAACTGTATGTTCATTGCAACATAGTGTACTTGAGAAGCATTTGTGCCTAACAAACAGAGTCGTGGATCAGACCTGGTAAATCTCTAAGACCAGAGGTAGGAGTCCCCCCGCAACCTAGGAAGGGGCTGGGGTATTAACTGCAAATCTTCCACTGGGACTGTAAGGGATTTTAAAAATTTATTACGACTGAATAGAATAGAAATGGTGTAAAAAATAGAGTTGCACAGACTGAAAAACATGTTCATATAACAGACATTTTTCTAGATATTATTTAAGCCATTTATGTGAAATGTATGGATATCGTATGTTTAGTGGCACTGTTAAAACAGGGTGTCTGTACAAATATTTAGCTGTGGGAATTATAAAATCATAAGGCGATTAAGTTAGCTAGTTGTGAAATTCCAATATTGCTTTTTAAATGACTTCAGGATATAGGAGGTGCTAAGGTTATTATCTGTTATCAGGAATACAGCGGAATTGTACGACTGGATAATAACTAAACAACTGACACAATGTAAAATTACATTATCAGTGTGTTAAAACAAAATTGCGCCCTAAAGGAGTCTACATGCCAGCTCAGAGCTGCAGTGTAATTATGCTTAACTCTGATAATTAAAATACAACGGAGATCAACAGAATCATTTTCATTAAGAAAATTATTAATGATGGTGGTATAACAGTAATTGATTGCAGAGCACCACAGGATAACTCTGTGCAGGAAACCCAACATGTTTAACGTGTGGCCGGTTGGGTTGCATTGCGTACCACGGAGCACGCTGCCTGGCCAGGTGGCAGCTGCGGGGCGCGTCTTCTGCTGTAAACCCCAAGTCAGAAAATGGCTGCTTTTCAGGCTGCGGCTTGGAGGGAGAGGGCTGGGTGCTGGGGGACGGGGCGGCGGGACGGGGTCGGGGTCGGCTGCCAAAAAGGAGCTGGCCGCTGGCAGCGACTCGCACGCTTCTCGAGCCATCCGTCATCTCATTTCACGTGAGGCGGTGTTTGGTTTTGCATTTCCATTAGTGATTTACTGATGTTATTTCCTCCACTGCCTGGCCTCGCTGAGCAGTTTATGCCCTTCGTTATTTCTGAGAGGATGCGGGAGAAGAAACAAAACGTCCTCGCCTCAGCGCGGTTCCACAGGCACCGCGTGACATCTTAGTAAGTAATTCCACAGGATGGTCCTGTTAATTGTCCCGGTGGTACAGACGCATGATATCAATGCCATAAAAAGCCTCCATCCCTCCGTAAGTGAAATCGCAGTCAGTGCCCACTGAGTGACTATAACAAAATCCTGGCTAGGGAGGATGTTGCCTAAGGGTAAGATCTGAGAATTGTCATTTTCTTTTGGTGAACACAAAAGGGGGGGGGGGCAAATTCGGGGGAGTGCTTCTCCACACAGCTAAGGGATGGGTGCTTGCTCAAACAGATGCTACTTTTGAAAGCTG